ACCTTAGTTCACGGTCAAACTCAACACGAGAATTCTATTAAATGAAAAACAATAAGAGTAAAAATTCTTTGCTCAACTTACGATAGACGACTTAGGACAATATTTCTACATTACAAAATAATAACAATTAGAACATAAAAGTGAAGAAGAACTCTGACCTCATGAAGTCTGAGCAAATCAATCATATGCTGCTCATTACAATACTTGCATCGACCAACGCAATTATTGTTGTATTGCTGAACAAATCTAAAAGATGATCAAAGTCATATTCTAGTAAAATAAGAGCAACAAATAAACCGTGGTTTTTGTTGTCTTCGTTCTTGTTTTTGTTCAGCACGAAAATTCTGTTTAATGAAAAATACTAAGAGTAGAAATCGATTGCTCAACTTACGAAAGATGATTTTGGGCAGTATATCTACATCAGAAGTTAATCAAAGTGAGAACATGAAAGTATAGAAAAACTCTGACCTCATGAATATTGAGCAAATCCACCAAATGCTTTTCATTACAATATTTACATCGACCAAGGCGATTATTATTGTTTTGATGGACGCATCTAAACAATGACAAAAGTTACATTCTGCTAAAGTAAGATTAAAGAATTAACCTCGATTGTTGTTGTCTTCGTATACGTTCTTGATTAATACAAGCATTCTATAAAATAAAAAACAATAGGGATAGAAATAAGTTACTCAACTCACGATATGTTTTTGAAAAAATCGCCATTCAATAAGTTTGTTGCAAACTTCACAAGAAACAAGAGCGGCATCAACCGACTGGTTGTCATGATACAATCGACCTGGAAATGAAATGAAATTCATAAGAATATGTTCTACGTGTGATAACACCTGAATATTGATTAGCATTTCTATTAGTCCATGTTTGCTGTCTTTTTTTTATTTTATCTGGATTCTGAAGACAAGCACTCTGCGAACATTAGAGAAGAACAATTTGATTTCTCCTATAAGAGTCATGATTTTTCAAATGCTCACCTGATGTGCTTCACAGTCAGCTGGGTCACATACGCAATTACAAAATGGACATAAGATAGTTTTCCGTATTACTTATATAAAAATTAGGCAATAGATAATGCAAACAGTTTTAAAATCTACCTGAGGTTGATGTTTGAAATGTAGTATTATTTCGGTTTGAATGGTCTTGAACATTAACTGCCAATACCGTGACATACTTTTCGTGACGATTAGCTGGTCTTGTTGAATATTGTGACGAATCATTAGGCTGAGATGCAGATGAAGCAACAGAGTTGTCGACTGTAGGATTAGCATCTGTATCGATGGCATCCACATCTGCACAACTATTTTCATAGTGGTAAGCAAATATAGCCCGTCGAATAAATTTTTTACAATTTGGACACTGATCTGTTTTGTTGCCACACATCAACAAATGATCTTCCATTTCTTTTGTTGATGCCATTTTTTTATTGCAGAACGAACATGAAATAAGGCGTTCTGCATCAGTAACTTGTTCCTAGAGAAGAATTCAATAATGACAAAGTAAAAAAAGAATGTATCTGACATAAATCGAAATCCATTCGATTTTGTCTTAGTATAAACCTACATTTTCACTCATATTTAGTTCTTTTTAGTTTGAATGATTTCTTATCTGAAAAAATTAAAACAAAAAACAATATCCAAAAATGAATTAGAAAGAAAAATATTAAAGATTGGCCTTTACTTTTTCAATTTGTTTAGCAATATTCGATGATTAGATCATTCTGATTCACTCTCTCAAGTACTATACGTGAATATGTTTCGAGTTTGTTTTTTGATTTAATTTTTTCAGATAAGAAATCATTCAAACTAAAAAGAACTAAATATGAGTGAAAATGTAGGCTTATACTAAGACAAAATCGAATGGATTTCGATTTATGTCAGATACATTCTTTTTTTACTTTGTCATTATTGAATTCTTCTCTAGGAACAAGTTACTGATGCAGAACGNCTGCTTTCAATTTTTATGACTTGTTCAATTAGCAATTTGAAATGTCGAAATCTTATTATTTGTCGGTCGAATCCGAGTGTTGTTATCACAAAGAATAAACTTTTTTCAATCAAATTAGACTCAATGCTATTGCAGATGTGATAAGCACAAACAAAAATAAGTGTTATAAATATACTAAAATTGCCCTCGCTCCCACTAAGAACGAGATATAAAGCTTAAAATTTTGTTTATGTGTCCCTAATATTTGCACAAACTTTTAGATCAATATGATTCCTTATTGACGAAAAGATTATAACAGCTGATCAGTAGTCATGATTTTCTCATACTTTCTTCTTTGTTTTTTTTTTTCAAAAAATGGTATATACCTTAAAAATAATTATATTAATTATATCTTATACTATTATTAGATTACTAATTCGAAAGATAATTTTTTTGAACCGAAATAGAAATCGATCGGTATCGAATCGTTGGTTTCGAGTATTTCATAAATAATAAAATTACATTGATAAAAGATTTATTATTTTAAATTAAACTCTATCTGAAATTTCCTTACATGAAAACGAACAAACAAGATAGATCGTTGTGCTATTTTCAATCGCTTTATAGAACTGATTACATTTGTTCTTCGATCATATTTAATAGTGAAAAAAACCAGGTGTGACTTCACTTATGTATCAAAGTACACTTGAAATAAATGAAATCTCATTTTTCTCTATTTGATGGCATCAGTTTTGTATTGATTTTTTTGACCCATATTAAACGCGTGCGTATTAATTACCGATCTCGAAAGATTAAAGTATCATTCATCTTTAACTTAAATTGTTTTTTGAATCCTAGAATAATGTAGAAAGCTCCTGTTGTTGTTTAATTTTAGCTTTTACATTAAATGTATCAAAAACAGAAAGCATACATCATAACGTAATGTATATGCATCGATCACCATACATTTCGTGAATTCAAAAGTTTGTTTTGTTTAATATTTAAAAAACTGGATATCACACACCAAATATTCTTTAAATTAATAGCTAACAATATGATGAATCCACAAAGAATTAAAAATATGATATTTAAATCAATATATTGAAGAGAAAAATAAAATAATGCACTTATATACTTTAATGCTATAGTGTTATTTATTTGTCCGATTACATATCTTTATTAATACTCGACTGTTAAGACAAATTTTCAGACAAAAAACAAAAAAAAGAAATTTTTATCTATAATAAAGCTGCTCAATCTGATAAATGCATTTTAAAATAATTTTTAAAGAAAGATCTAATCAATCGATTGAAATCTATAGACTGTATACCAGATTTTAGATACTTTCAGTAGATAAAATTATAAATAGATATTTAAGATTATCTTGGAATAACTCTATCTCATATCGTACATGAATACGTTTTGAATAAACAATATTTTCTGATTCGAAATTTGTTATTATAACATCAAGTATAGTATTTAATTTAAATAGAAGAAAACTAATAATTTCATATCAATGTCAAATAATACAATATTCACATACTTTTTGAAAATATAAGAAGAAAAAGCTTGATATGAAGATTCGAGAAAAAGTATCGTTCGATTTTTTTATTTGCTCTTTTTTCTGTATCTCAGTCGATTCATCTATATGATTGAGAGTATTGATATGAGTACAAAACAATTGAATCCATTTTGATTAAACTAGGCTGACTTGCACGTATAAAAAATAATGATAAGACTTGATTGAATCTAATTTTTAGACAATATCATAGAATATGCTTATCTATTTATGTTTTTAATAACAAAATCATTTTTATACTTGTACATTCTTTGATCCAAAAAAACAATATCTGTAGAAAATGAATAACGATTGAAAGTCGAACTTGTTCACTAATATTTAAAAGAAAATTCAATACTCGTTAGAAATATATATATTGATTAGTTGAAATTTACATTTGAATATTAATAAATTTAATTGAATAAAATTAGTTTTTGATAATTTATTTTATTATTATCTTCTTTTTCTTCTTCTTGTTTTTTTTTCTGTTGCTTCTATGAATGTTGTTATATAAAAATTAGAAGAACGAAAACAAAAAAAAACAATTATAACACAAATCTACATAGGTGGCCATTACATTATACCTTACAACTTCAATTCTTGGTATAACAACTTAACTCTAAATACAATATAAAAACTTCAAAATCACAAATAAATGACAAAAGAAAAAAAACGAGAACAAAAAAAAAACAAAACAAATACACAGATCTTACACCGGGACTAACTAAACTATAATATAATCCTAAACTTTTAGTAAATATTATCTATACTTTCTTTTATTGTGATGAAATGCATATTTCAATTTTTTATTACGTTTTTTTGATGTTAAACATAATTGAATAAGATTTATTTTCATGTACATTATAAATGATGGTGGCCATTGTATAAATGTGTTAAAATTATTATTTGTTTTCATCTTCTTATTTTTGATAATTATTTTATATGCAACACTCTGTCGTACGTGCATGTCGTTCGATCTTCTACGGCACACGCAGACGGTGTTGCGTAATCCTCAGCTCGGATGCTTTTTATAATAACTATAAATAAGATCATAATCAACCAAACAAACAATTTGATGATCTATACGAGCATAATCCGAATATAAAAATAATTTACGATGTATATCAAGACTAGTTGCTGCCTATTAAAGAAAATAAAAAACAATAAATTATATAGAAAATATTTATTTTATTAAGAAAATTTTACCGATCCACCAAAAATTGTTGTTGCAAATTTGCCTGGATTAAATATTGAAATAATTTTACGAATTATATCATTATATTGATGATATGGAACATTTGTTTCAAAACTAACATATGAAAAATCCGGTTCAGGTGTTATATGTATTGTAAAATAATGACCATCAGGTAAAAGACCATTCATTGAATAACCACATGGATCGAATAAATGATCGAATATTTTAGCATTGGGAAAAATTTTATCAATACCAGCTTTCTATAAATAATGATTAGAATTAAATATATAATACATTGTTTTATATAGAATAAAACGTGATTTGATAATTCGAATAGGATAGTGAAGGATAACGAAATCTTTCACAATCGTATTGAATATATCAAATTTTATCCTATAAATTCTTGACAGGAGTGCCTAATGTAGAGCCCGCTGCTTTCGAGACCAACCCAATGCGCTCTAGTCCCGAGTGGAGGTCACGCTCCCCGCCCTCTCATTCTTGAGCAATCCTCAAAAACAAAAAACGCCCACAACTCTGGTCCATGAACTCGACAAAAAATGATAGTCAATAAACATACTTTCGTTGCATCAGCTGCTGAACTTGTATATTCTTGATAGAAGATCTTCATTTTTTCTCGATCTAAATCCGTCATAATAACTTCCAATGTTTGATCGGTTTTTGTACGAACACATGTCTTGTCGAGAGTATATAAATACCTATATAAATATTAAAATTCTTTCAATACAATAAAAACAAAACTAATTTCTTATTCAATCCTAATCAAGAGTGTAATGCCCTCCGTCTTCTAAAATCTGAACTACGCCTCTAATCATAATTTTTTGTTTTGTTTTCATCTACACATCAGTATTAAAATCTACAAAAAAATTCATCTAATCTTAACTTATCGTCTGTCGACATCTTTCGAATAATGTGTACACAAAAACTATGACTCACCAACAATCGATATTAGTACGACCAAGGACATAAGCACTACCACCTAAAAAACAATAAATTTAAGTTGAGTAAGTCCAATATTATATACATAGGTACGTGTATACTTACCCTCAAAAAGTGAATCAAGATAAGCGACCTGAAAAGATAAAAAAAAATAAATAAATTTCATCAGAATTTTAATAAATTCTTTTGTTTTTATACTTCATGCTCGAAACTTGTATGTGGTGCTTTTTGTAGTTCAGGTCGAAGAAATTTTCGACGACTATAAAATACTTGCTATAAAAAAAGAAATCCGAAAACTTAATATTCTAAATAATGAATCTAAGTTTTACATCAACAATATCAAAATCACAATAATCTCGTGCAAGTTCTAATATTGGTTGAACTGCATGAAGTAATGTTGTTTCACCACATGTTTTTAAAACAAAATGTGTACGAAAAATAAACATGCTTGATTCACTTAATACATATGTATCCGTTGTAGCCGATTGGGCATATTGAAGTACTTTACAATTAACCAAACTTAATACTTCTTCAATAAGATCCCTAAATAATATTAAAAAAAATAGTTCGATAAAAATTTTTGAAATAATTTCTTATTACCGTGGAATATTTCGTAAATCATTTCGTGGTGTATATTTATGTGTATCACTTGTACTTGTTGTAAACCAAATTTCCAATAATTTTTCTGCTCCTTCAAAAAAATGGCCAGTCATTCGCGTTTGTATATCTTATGAAATCGTTCGTTTTTGAGCGACAAAAGATTACTGATAAAAAAAAATTGTGTTGTTTCTTCTATAAATATAAGACTCTTTCATTATATATATATATATATATTCTACCAACATTACATTTTCTCTTTCTCTATTTCTCTCTTTCTTTCTTCTCTCTTTTCTTGCTTTTCTCTTATTTTTTTCTCATTACGTTCGTCGAATCCGCATCGAGACAACTATGTCGGTTGCCAAATTACTCTTGGGAGTAACTAACAATTATAGAAAGGAATGTCCTTTATTCTCTTTCTATTCTCTTCTCTTTTTTCTTTTCTTCTAGCTCGAAAACATCATCACCAAGGAATAGAAACAATCTATATATCATCTCAACAAAAGGTTCAAGAAAGAAAAAAAAATCGAACTTCAATATATTTACTCAATCTTTTTCTATTTTTAATATTTTTCTAGGAGTTAAATAAACAATATTTTAATTGAAGTTCGAAGTTCTTTTTATCTAAACACTTCTTTCATTACGAAACTCCTAGGAAATTATTTAAAAAAAAAAAGCAGAATTTTTTTTCCTTTTCTATCATTAGACTAAAAACAAATAATTGTTTTTTTTTTGTCTCAACTGCAATGACAAAGGAAAATGTTATTGTGGGCTAGCAGCTGCAACTACCTGTAACCGAGCCTACTCATAGAAATATTTTTTATCAAAAATAAACAAAACAAAGAAAGGTATTTATATTTGTATTTGATTTGGACTTATATATACGCAAATTGAAAATTTAAGCGAACACACATAAAACGATAATTAAAATATAAAAATAAGAATATATTGGAAAATAAATAAAAGATTTTTCTCGTTTGATTGATGTAGAAACGAGAATTACATTTGTAAATCTTGTTTTTGTAAAATATAAAATATAAAAATCAGTTTTTTTTTTTTTCTTTCTCGATTATTATTTCCTACTTTAACTCGTTCAAGTGCATATTGATTATTTTCTCTTAATCCTCAATTATATTGAAAAATTCACTTTCGTGATATATATATATATAACTTGATCAATAATTGATGAATAACAAATAAATTAAATATTTCAAAGATCTTTATCATAAAATATAATTATATTTTTGAACGACTTGTTCAATATTTCAAGTATCATTTAATCATGATATTAATTGTGCTATAATTTTTTCTTTATATTTGGTAAACACGATTTGTTCTAATCTGAAACGACAATGAAAATAAGATTTTATCTTCATCAAATAATAAAAATGCATATATATAAAACTACGAATGATTAAAATCTTATTTCTCAGCATTTTACAATAAGTTTATGTCATTGTTTCTTAAAATTCATAGTCATCATCTAGGTTTTATATGAATGAAAATAAAACGTTTGTTCCTTTAACAACATCAATTATATGTTTGTATATTATAGAATTCAGCTTCTTCTAAAACACCTTCTTCAACTAGAAATTAATTTACCATGACAAAGATAATTGAATAGATAAAGATTTATAAATAATAATATTTTTAATTAGAAAATATTTGAACTACATTAAAATAATATGGATTAAGATCAATTAATTAGGTATCGTTTTCATCCTTGAAAACAAAACAAAAAACAAATAATCATAAATTAACAAATAAATATTATAAAATTAAAACTTACAACATCAGTTTTAACAATCTATTCATATTGTTGACATAAAACGGATAAGAAATTATTCGTGTTCTTGATAATGTTGTACGAGCTGTTAGAAAATGTTTACCGATGAACACTTAATAAAAATCGAAACTGTTCGTATGTGATATTTATTATCGAATCATTCTTTAGCATAGTAGAAAAAGAAAAAGATTCGCTTTTTTCATTCGCTAGAAAGGCAAAGTGAAAATATATATTTGAACCTTCTTCTTGATGTTGCAAATATTGATTGATTATGAAATAAATCCAAAACGTTTTTACTAGATGGCAGTAATGAATAGCACGAACATATTATTTTCTTTTCAGATCTAATCGGTAATGTTCATATCAAAGTACACTTATATTTACTTTTCATCTCATTAATTGAAAAGCTATATATAAACATTTGTATAAAAAATCATATTGATGGTTTCCGTTGAACTGAATTCTTAGAAATAATTATAAATTATTTTCAATACTGTAGAAATTACTTCATATTTTCTTGAATATTTTACCATTGATCAGTTCGAAGAAATGAATAAATAACATTTGAGACATAGAATCCTGCTGCTACTAATAATAATTTTCAATCACATTTTTACTTTCATCTATTCTTTTCATTTTTTGTTCATATCAGCTTTAAGATTACCTTGCTAGTAAATATACTGAATTCTATTTAGTAAGTCATACGATCTGAGTTGTGTAAAAGGATCGTAGTGATCGATATGTTAAAATCAGGATATTGTGAAAGCTATTTTCTATATAAGACG